GATGAGGACGGATGAAAATCGTTGTACTGCAGCCGTTTAGCTTTTGTATTATATTCATGTTGACGCAGTCAACGAGTATTCCTCCCTCGTTTCGGGTGACGATGTTACCTCGCTCTGATGATGTCCGTCATATGATGGACGTTTTCTGGTGGAACCGACCTTCGAATCTCTTCACCCAACACTTTCGCTCCAAATGGAAGTAAGCACTCCAATAATAACCTGATGTGAAAAGACCTTTCTTCTCGAGGGCTAGATTGGTTGGAAAGGTTTCGTGTAGATCAGGTGTGCTCACCATATTTCGTTTAAGATGATAATTCAATTCTCCCACAACGACATGACATTACGTTTCAAGTGAATTTCACATAGACTTGCTTGCCCTGAAGATATTCTCATCCAGGATTGACGACAATTAGACCTCGCCCAGGTCTTAGCAACACCTATAGCGGGACTCGAACCATGAGAAAACGGTAACAATTAGGACGAATTTCATATATCTGACTTGTATTATCTAAAGCCGCCATCCAAAAGCAAAAGGATATTTGTGAATTGTCCGAATACCGAAAACGTGAATGCGGGTCTGATGCTTTTTGCAACGACGTTCTCGACTCACCATCTTGCACTCCGGTCCAGCCGTGCCGAGACGTCGTCGTCTGTCCGGTCGTGCGAAACATCGTCAGAGGTAGGAAGCATCATTTACGCCAAAAGCGACAACAGTCCATTGAAATTATTTCCCACAGGATTGTAGCGGCGAAAGGACGCGTTCGCAAAATCCAACCGCCACAACTGCAAAGCGATCCTCAGTTGAAGTGAATGCACGACGTCCTTTCAGGGAACATCCGCCATAGATCCGGATGAAAAAATGGTCGAGATTTAGTCAGTTTTGATATGAAGTGATCTCGTGCGGACTTCAGACGCAAAATTAACATGTGCCTAAGGGTGCTCTTAACATCAGGGATCAAGCCATGTTTGAGCAAAGCCGATTGTCGTTGAATGTAGCGTGTCTTTCAGGAATATAGTTGATCTTCTAGAATTGACGCTTTTGAAAATAATGAATTTCTTAACATCGTATTAAAGCCAAATGGCTGCGGAACAACGAGAATCTACCGTCGTCTTCTGATAAGATTGGCTTGAAAAGCTCTTCATCACACATATTCATACCTAATAAAGGTCTCCACAAAATTGTATTGCGGCAAATGGAAAAAATTTTCCTTCTGGGCCGTTCGAAGCCCAGCTTTTCCTCATTTCCATGGGTTTGAGGCATCAGGACGTCGATAGGCGTCCACTCGTATTGAAACGGATCATACAACAACGGAGCATTTCTTTCGAAATGCTGCATCAAATGCGTCACTTGCCTCGATGCCATTCCAAGACGGGAGTAGCAGATTTGCCGAGTCCGCTCGCCTGACAGCAGAGGCCACCGGGTGAGGAGTGATCCCGCGGGCCTCGATCTTGAGGGGCTCTAACTCGCAGACCAATGAGCTGAGTGTCCTACTTCGCCCGCAATCACCAGCCTCGAAGAACACTTGCTGAGAGTCGTGTGCTGCGAGGCAACTGCGGCGCCGTCAGACGACTGAGCAGCTGCGTCGAGGCGGTTGACGCCTCGTCGACAGAGTCAGAAAGCACAAAAGACCACCAACTCTAGAGCCACTTGTATGATCCGTTTCAATACGAGTGGACGCCTGAGTGGCCGTCCAGATGCTTCAAACCCGCGGATATGAGGAAAAGCTGGGCTTCGAACGGCCCAGAAAGAAAATTGTTTCCATTTGCCGCAATACAATTTTGTGGAGAC